AGGGGCGCGGGTGGTGTGTGTGTGAGGGGGGGGGGGGTTAGGGTGAGGACGCACCAGCAGCGGCAGCAGCAGTTCCCCTGCTGTTAGGAGCTCATGCCAGGTTCCACTACAGGGCGAATTCTGATTTCATAAGGGGTTTTTTTTAACCTTTGACAGTCTAATCAAAACAGTTATAGAAATACTAGATTTATTGCCTTTTAATAAAGAATAAGAGTTACACTTGGCTTTCTAATCTTGCTTTAGACAATACAATGAGCATCTATATCAGATGTATTCTTAGAGGCACCTGTTTAATTATCTTAACAATAGCTTGGACCAATCATTTACCTAGAGGATAATCGCCTGTGAGGAGACCTGCCATCTTGTGTGTGTGTGTGAGGGGGGGGGGTTAACTTTCCGTGGGCTGGATGGGAGGAGGCCATCAAACTTTAGGCAGGCCTGGGCCTAGTCTCCTCCTCATTCCCCCCCTCCCCCCGAGAGGCGATGAGGAGGTCTGCCCCAGAATGCAGCAGGAGGGAAGAGCCACCTCCTGGGTGGGGAACGGCTGCTGGTATCGTGGGGTCACTCTGGTCCAGAGTCTGCCAAAGACAAGAGGCAGCCCCAGGCCGGAGAGGGAGGCCATCTTGGGGGTGGGGGAGGCATGTCGGTGCAGCCTCTCGGCTCCAGAGGAATGCAGGGATATGGCGGCACCCGCCCCCGCCAGTGAGCTTAGGGGGGGGGGAGGGCGATGAAGCGCTTTGGTCAACGTTGTTTTGTTTCTTCCCTTCACTGCTGAGGTGCCTGCGTGTATGTCTGTGTGTATCTGAGAGTTTTGAATTAAATCCTTCTGGGAAAGGCGAGGAGTGAGGTCAGGGGTTCCCTAGGGAGAAGGAGGAGGAGGAAAGTGGCAAGACGGCCAGTGGCCACCTCTCCAGGGGAGCCCCAAAGAGCGGGGCGGGGTCTCCCGGGGACGCCAGAGGGAGGGCGGCGGGCTGCCCCGCCTGACCAGAGCCCCAGACGGGGGACAGGGGGTGGCGGTGGTACCATGAGGCAGTGGGGTGGAACAGCCCCTTCAGGTGCCAGGCCAGGCAAAGGAGGGGTGGGCAGAGCGGGGCCCGCCGGCTGATGCAGTCCACCGCAACATGTTTAAGTTAAAAAAGATTTCGTGCAAAATAAGATTGCTTTTCTCTATAAAAATGCATTGATGTGAGAAGCAAATCAGGTTTCTCTGGATGGAACTCTCAGAAGAGATGAACCGAGGCTTCTGTGTGTGAGTGAAAAATTCTGAAAGCTGTTTAAGACAATACCCTGAAAGCTGGTTTGCTTTAAATTTTACTAACTTTGATATGGTTGAGAAATGGTAGGAGTTTTGATAATTTTGACACTTGTTTTTGCAGTAGCTATAAGGTTAATTTTCACATGCTTGAATTTTCTAATGTCTTGTTGTGATAAAGAAAACTATTTCTTTTTTCAATAAAATATAAAACCCTCTGAAGGTTTTCTGTCTGGTTTGCTGGTGCGAGTTCAGAGAACAGCACTCATAAGAACATAAGAACATAAGAGACGCCAATGTTGGATCAGGCCAAAGGCCCATCCAGTCCAACACTCTGTGTCACACAGTGGCCAGAAATACCAGTGCCATCAGGAGGTCCAGCAGTGGGGCCAGGACATTAGAAGCCCTCCCACTGTTGACCCCCCCCCAAGCACCAAGAAGACAGAGCATCACTTGCCCCAGAGCCCCTAGCTATACCTTGTGGCTAATAGCCACTGATGGACCTCTGCTCCATATGCTTATCTAATTCCCTTTTGAAGCCGTCCATGCTTGTAGCACCCACCACTTCCTGTGGCAGTGAATTCCATGTGTTAATCACTCTTTGGGTGAAGAAGTACTTCCTTTTATCCGTTCTAACCCGACCGCTCTGCAGTTTCATGGAGTGCCCACGAGTTCTTGTATTGTGAGAAAGGGAGAAAAGTACCTCTTTCTTTACCTGCTCTTTCCCATGCATAATCTTATAAACCTCGATCATGTCACCCCTCAGTCGTCTTTTCTCCAAGCTAAAGAGCCCTAAGCGCTTTAACCTTTCCTCATAGGGAAAGTGTTCCAACCCTTTTATCATTCGAGTTGCCCTTTTCTGCACTTTTTCCAAAGCTATAATATCCTTTTTAAGGTGTGGTGCCCAGAACTGCACACAGTATTCCAAATGAGGTCTCACCATTGATTTATATAGGGGCATTATTATATTGGCTGATCTGTTTTCAATACCCTTCCTAATAATCCCCAGCATAGCATTGGCCTTCTTTATTGCAGTCACACACTGTCTCGACATTTTCAGTGAGTTATCCACTACAACTCCAAGATCTCTCTCTTGCTCAGTCTCTGCCAGTTCAGACCCCATCAATGTGTATTTATATTTAGGATTTTTGGCTCCAATGTGCATCACCTTGCACTTGGCCACATTGAACCCCATTTGCCATGTTGACGCCCACTCGCCCATCCTTGACAGATCCCCTTGGAGTGCCTCACAATCCTCACTGGTTTTCACCACCCTGAACAACTTTGTATCATCCGCAAATTTAGCCACTTCACTGCTTACTCCCATCTCCAAATCATTAATGAAAATGATCACTCACACAAGACAGTTGCTTACCTGTAACGGACGATCTTCGAGCGGTCATCTGTGCAGTCCCACACGTGGGTTGGGTGCCTGCGCACGACCTCGACCGGAGAAACCTCCAGAGCTTTGCCTCAGGAATCTTTTTGGTGGGCTCTCTTCCCGCCCTGGGGAGCAGGCACGCACTGCGCATGCCTGGAGCGGGGGAGAGAGCCGCGTCCCACTCAGTTCCTTCAACCGCTACCGGCAAGTCCCATCAAGCCAAAGAAAGGTGAACAGAAGATGCCAGCAGTGGGGAAGGCTGGGGGGGATTGTGGGACTGCACAGATGACCACTCGGAGATCATCAGTTACAGGCAAGCAACCTGTTTATCTTCGTCGTGGTCTCTGTGCAGTCCCACACATGGGTGATTACAAGAGCTGAACCAGTTGGAGGAGGGAGCTGGCAGCTGCAAGAGACACAAAGAATACTGGTTAAGACACAGCATCACCAGCAGGAAGAAACACCCACGGGTCCTACCTGGGGACGCAGCAGGGTCAAGCGAAGAGAGATCGCAGCACTGACTGGCCGAATGCAGCATCCTGTCGAACTCGGACATCGAGTGCATAGTGGGTCACGAAGGTCGATGCCGAGGACCACGCAAGCAGCCGCACAGACGTCCTCCAATGGGACACCAGCCAGGAAAGCGGTGGATGTCGATACCGCCTGTGTGGAATGGGCAGTGACACAGGGAGGAACAGGTTGACATGCAAGCTCATAGCAAAGGACTATGGTGGAAGTCACCCATTTAGACAAGCGTTGAGAGGAAATCGGCTCCCCCACATGGGGGGGCATAAGCAAAAAACAGCCGAGGAGATTTACGTATAGGCCGAGTCCTATGTAAATAAAAAGAGAGCACTCTGTGCACATTGAGATAGTGGAGGGCTCTCTGAGGTGCATCAGTTGGATTTGGAAAGAAGGAGGGTAAGACAGACGACTGGGACAGGTGAAAAGCAGAAACGACTTTAGGCAGGAAAGAAGGATCTGGTCTAAGGACAACCTTCTCCCTATGAGAAATTGTATAGGGGGGATCAGTCCAAAAGCGAAAATCACTATAAGGAAGGCCGTCTCCCAGGAGAGCAACCTGAGATCGACCGTAGCCATGGGCTCGAACGGCTTGGACATAAGTTGAGTGAGAACGAGTGACGGACTCCACGAAGGCACCAAGGGCTTCCTAGGGGGACAGAGCCGGACGAGACCTTTAAGGAACGACTTTGTAAGACGGTGGGAAAAGACTGTGGATCCCTGTATCAAGGGATGGTAGGCGGAGATGGCCGCTAAATGGACCTTTAACGACAAGTATGCAAGGCCATTATTTAATGAGACGACGTAGGAAAAAATCTCACGGAGAGACGACTGGATGGGATCGAAGGAATTACCAGAGGCATACGACTGGAACCTCTTCCACTTCAAATGGTAAGTGGCACAGGCTTCCTGGCATTCAGGAGGACTTCAGACACTTCAGGCGGGAAGTCTAGTGCAGGATCTTCCAGGCCGTCAATCGGAAGAAGCCCGGATTGGGCTGCAGGATCCTTCCGCAAGCCCGAGAGAGGAGATTGGGGACAAAAGGCAGCGGCCAGAATGTCTGGTTGGAGAGATGAAGGAGGTGCGGAACCCAGACTTGGTGCGGCCACCATGGAGTGACAAGGATGCACGACGTGGCATCGGCCACAATCTTCTGAACAACACGGGAGATCAAGGGGAACAGAGGGAAGAAGCAGAATAGGGTTCCCTTCCAGGTGTGGAGAAAGGCATCTCCCAGCAACTGAGCAGATGGTGGACCGTGGCTGAAAAAGAGACGACGCCGGGCATTGTCTGCAGTTGCAAAACCGTTGACAA